TCAAATATCCATGCCTTCTAATAGTATTATACTGTAGTAGAGCAACATAAAGTATCACATAGTTGTGAAGTGCAGGCGAAATTATACGCATTTTACAACAAGCTACCACATTGAAGAAAGAAAATATTGGAAGGAAACCTTTAAAATACAGAATTCCTGCTCATACTCGACTACTGGTATTAACAGCCCTTCAGCCCCTTTCTTTTTTTTTCTTATCTTTGCTAATTTATCATGACTAGTTTATGTAAAATTTGTATTTTACTTCATTTTAATACGTTCTTATCCTGCTGTTGTAACAATGGAATTACCCCACTGTGAAACAAATAGTCTTTTTCTGAAAACATCCAACAGAAGGTTACTTTACACTTAGATTTAGAGACTTAGACTAACGATGTTGTCATTTTGTATGCTCTGAGTGTATACAAAATGAAAATCGTTCCATACAGCTTACAACAGTTTAATGGTATTGCAGGTGGAGTAAGATAAACATTACCATTTATAAAGTGTAGCAGTGATCAGAAAAAAGTAGGAGCAAAATGAACCAGTTGAAAATAATGGTGCAAAGGGGCATTAATATGAAAACCTTCAGTGCAGCGCAAAAATAAATATGGTGTAAAATGCAGCAGAAGACACCAAGACAATTACGTTACAATCAGCCAAAGCAACGCCTCTATGGGCTGACCTCGTCACATTCCTGACCTAAATCCAATTAAATTTTTTTTTAGCAAAATTTTAAAATTGTTGTGCACAGAGTCTCTTCATTCAGTCTGAAAGGACTTTATGTATTTTGCGAAAAAGAAAATAAGTCAATTTTCTATGTGAGGTTTTCCTGTGGAAATCTCAATCAGACTTGAGATATATTTATGTATCACAATGGCGGTACTTATCTGGGGAGTGGCAGCCTAGTGGTTAGGGCATTGCTCTTGGATTTCAGAGGTACTGAGATCAAGCCCCTCTCCCATGGACTGCCACTCTGGCTCCCTGAGCAACACCCTTAACCCCACACTGCTCATCAGGCACCACACAATGGCAGCCCACTGCTCCCCAAGGGAATGGATTGAATGCAGAGAGTTAATTTTGTTGCTTTGTACTTGTGACAGTGTAATGACAAAGTTGAATTCTAAATTCCTCAAATTTAGGACATCACAGCTCAAGTTCCATCTACTTATATGGATATCTTTACGCAGGTCTATAACACATGTTACATTTAATTTTAGAATTTTTTTCCATTAACAGGACAACTGTTAAAACACTCAGGGGATTTGTACATGCTTTCAAGACACAAAACTCTGCAATGTGTGAATTCTTCCAAGCTTTAGTTGTTCTACATTTATTTTCTACAGCAGGACCTTTTAAAATTGAAAACTATTTTTGGTGTATATTTTACCAGAGATTATATAATATTGTAAGTCATTTGTGCCCAAGCCAGATAGGTGCCATCTTTAACATAACATTATTCACACTGACGAAACAGAAAAAAAAACAAGCAGATTCTTTTGCAATTGGTGGATGAAGAGGGTGCAATGAAGGTCATTGGGATGACTTATTCTTCTCTACAGTCGGTTTATTACTTACTCACAGATTACAGTCTAATCCCTGTCATATCCTCTATTCACAATATGAATTACTACCTTCTTGCAAACAGTATAAAGTATCCATTTGCAAAATTAACAGCTACATATATTCATTCATCCCTACCTCCATCAGATTTGCTAAAAAAAATGAAATTTAGTAAGACAAATGAAGGCTGTTATGGTGATTTTATGTTTTTATTTTGCATCATGTTTTTGCTTTTGTTTTGTGGCTTAACGTGCAATATGTGTATTTGATGTTTACTTATTGTATTTCATGGTGGGGATTTAATTTTTTATTTGATCTTTTTTATCACATGTAGTCCAACAAGAATTTCCCAAATAAAGTACATCCAAACTAATCTTTTATATGCTTTTTTTTAAGGAAATGTTAAAAGCATAAATTGTTAAGACCTTCAGATGGTATTGTGTCTATGTCCCAATTCCCATTTTGTTAAATGTTTGCTTAATTTATGAGCTTGAAAAATCTCTATAAATGACTCCAAATAAATCTAAATGTCTGGACTGATTCAGTTAACAATTCGTTTTTAGCAGGTTCTATGCTTATTAAAAACGATGTTGTCCTTAGGAACCATAATCATATTAACCGTGTGACCAGTAATGTGATTTTGACCAGGAGGAACCCAATTTTTGTAAACTACAAATGGAACAACAGAGAGGAGAGTGAACACTTCTTATCAACCTACGCATTAATTTGAGAAGCAATCTCCCTCTCCTTTGCAGCCGTAGCACTGTTCTCTCTTTTAAACACCTTCTACAATTTTTTTTTCATTCCTGCATTAAAATCTCTAGTTCCAGCAGTGGGAAATAGCCACTTCCTGTTACCTGTTGTCATGGTAACTCATCGAAAATTGGGGGCTTCACTGACAATGATTTATTATACTTGTTACGCACATTTTCAAATCTGGGTGGACCTACTCAGAGTTGATTAAACTAACTCACAGCAGCCTTTGTTGAACTGACAACTCAGAGTTTCCAACCATAGGCTAGATCAATTCAGAGTTGAGGATTTGAGTCTGACTCTGTTAAACGGACCCCAGGTGCAGTATTATTGCAGTTGCATTGCTTGGGGGCTAGGTGTCGCTGCAGCCCAATGAGAGTTTACTAGTAACATCTGAAGAGCTCACTGGCTGGAATGTTTTTAGGGGTTCTGCTTGCAGGAGGTTCCAGAAGTTAAAAAACGTTACTTTGATGATTATAATAGAACTTTATTGATCTCACATCTCACATTGGAGAAATTTACGTCTGCATTTAAACCGTACCCTTGGGGAGCAGTGGGCTGCCATTGTGGGGCACCCGGGGAGCAGTGTGGGGTTAAGGGTATTGCTGGAACAATATGATCTCTCATCATGTGATTCTACACCAGATAAAGTGAAAAAAGTAAAAAAAAAAATGAAAGTATGAGCTTAAAGTACGAGAATGAGCAGAAGAGTGCTGCAGCCTCTTTAATGTTTAATAACAAAATAAAAAGCTACCTCTTTAATTTTTTTTTTATTTTGTTACGGGGTTTTGTTTTGGGAGGGGAGGATGTAAATGTTTAACTGTTTTGATCGTTTTCTTGTAGGTTTAACTTTTGTGCCACACATTAGTCAACCATGTTGTTTTTAAAGTGCTATATAAATCATTAAATAAATAAATAAATAAATAAATACAGTGTTCTAATGCTAAGGTATTTTAAGGTCTGGCAGGTTCAGTTTAGAAACATCCTCAGTGTGATCCTTTTCTGTTCCTGACACCAAGCTATTCTGTCACATCTCGGCTCCTAAAAAATGAACAGGACTTTTGCCATTGTTATGGTTGTAACAGTGGCTGTATTGGCAATATACAAACAGTGGAGAAAATGAGGCCACAAGCAGCGATGACATTAGTCCAACATTCCAGTTACAAGTTCTGAGTATGAAATGCACCATTAGACCCCAAGACGGAGCTGCAACCTAAACATTTAGACTTAGACTTACTTAGACGTAGACAGATTTGTCATTTTGTTTACACAAGTGTAAAACGTTTGGAACAGCTCTCTGGACAATTTCATCTTTTTTTTTTTTAAGTGCAGCATTGAAAAATAGTAAAAAAATAAAAATATTTAAAAACAGTAATATAAACTATGCACTATGACTGTTTTGGGCCCAATGTAGCAGAGATAAACAAGTTTACAGGAAAATTACATTAACACATTAACACAAAAATCAGAATCATTTTAATCATCCTTTGCTGGAAATTATTTTCTTATAGTGCAACCATTTACAGAAAGGGGGAAAATAAGATTGTTAAAACAGACAAGATATAAGTATAAAATAAGATAAGGATCAGAATAAAATAAGATAAATACAATCAACATTATTTACAATTTACAATACTACTCAGTACCAAATTACAACTATTGCACATGGCCATGTTATTTCGCATAGTGAAGTAATGTAATAAATAGATAGTAAGTAATGAAATTAAATGACTGTCAGAGAGATGAGTTAAACAGTTGAATGGCCACAGGCAGGAATTACTTCCTGTGGTGCAGCATGATGAAATGAGTCTCTAACTTAAGGTGCTTCTGTGGGTGATCAGCTCATCATGAAGATCATTAAGGTCCAATTTTTACAGTTTATCTGCACAAACAAAGTGATTTGCAGGTTTACCTGTGCAAAGTATTGGGTCATCCAGGTTACAACGACCCAAATGACTAACATTCATTAAGCCTGTTTTGAGATTTGGGGTTTAGCTACTCTTTAACCTTTATTTATAATGGAATTAATATTATAACATGCTTTATGGCCAAAAAACAATATGATACCCTCAGATTCAAAGAGTACATTTGAAGAAATTTAAAGTTTCAAAATTAATCTTACATAAATACCAAGCATCCTATATGTAACCAGTATCAAGGTGTAGATTAAAGTGCAACATCACTAATAGGAATTACACGTAAGAGCGAAAATAAATTGGATAAACTTCGGAAGAGACATCGAGTAATATCACATTTGTGTGCAGGATAACTCTTTTTTTTTGTGCTTAAGTTGAATGACTGCGCACAAAAAGTCCCCCCCACACATTGCCATGCACACTTGTATAACCTTTTAGATAACAGCCGGTCGCTCTTAGCCGTTATGAGCCAACCCAGGCCACTGCTCCATTCATCGGCGTCTCCGTCCTAGTGATTTGCTCTCACTCATCACGCTGCCTGTAGCCGTGGGTTTCCATGTGAAAAGTCCGTCACTGCGTTATATAAAACAACTGACAGCCGAGCGGACCAATCACGGTAAGGAGCGGCATTCACATCGCCCGCCTCAAATAACTTTCCGTGCGCTGATTGGTTAGAATCACGCGGAAACGAAGACTGGCTTCCGTCTTAACCAATGAGAGCAGAGCAGTGGGAGGCTCGAGTAAAATGCGCTTGTAATGAGGTCACTGCTTGCGTTTGAAGATCCAGGGCAGTGCGTGGACACCGGAGCCGGGGAGAGAATTTACTGAAACAGCGCAGAGAGAGCAGAAGGACCCGGTTCATCAGGAAAGGTAGCTGTATAAGCAAGGATTTGTTTTATTTGAAGCAGCATCACCGGGAGGGAAAAAAAGCATAGAAGCCTTCAGCGAGGTTGGTAAAGCTTAACTTCTGTCTTTAAGATGTGACGACTTGGGTATTTAAATATAAAGGTCACACCTCTGATAACTGGACGTCTGCCCTATTGCCTGCTGGGGATCCCTGATGGAGTAACCGCTTTACCTGACGAGGGATGAAACACAGCAGCTGACGGAGACTTTAAGGAATTTTGATATAAGCTGCGTAGAAAAAAAAAAGCGTCCAGAAAGAAAGTTGAAGCAGTAAGACTGGCGCAGAGTGGCCGAAGCGGTGAGTCTACTCTGCAGCCCTGCAGAAACAGTAGATAGGTGAACTCTGTGGTGTCAGTGTCACATGAAAACGCCGGTACAGACCCTTATGTAAAGTGTTATGCTGAAGCTGCACATGGCACAAGTTCACATGCCGCACTGATTAGGGAATATACGGTAAAAGGAGCAGGATTCACTTTGATTATTTAAGAAGTGATGATGACAGCTAGAACTTTAAGAAATGTCAGGGGCAATGGAGGGATGGTGGAGCACTTCTAACTATTCTATATATACAAAGTTTTAATGCTTTACTTTATTTTCTTCTTAAGCTAAATTTATGGTTATGCCATTAGCTTTGTTTCTGGCTGTGGTTGTTTGTTGATTTTTTCCCATGACTGATATATCACTCATGGGGGAAAACGTATATTAGACCATTGTATTTGTCCAATATTTCCTATTCATGTTTATCAGTAATAAATATAAAATAAAAAAACAAGAATTGATTATAACAGTTAGATAGACAGCTTATATTAAGACATTCTCTATTCTTTCATTATAAGGACAAAATTAAATCAAGTACTAACATTTATATCTATGGCATTGGGCTTCCAAAAGCAGAGCTGGTTGGCATTGCATATTTTATTTCCTTTCTTTTTTAATCGCATGATCCACAATGGAGTTAGTACTCGGTCTTATAACCATTTTATTCGATAATAGAGGTGGTCTAATACTTTATTCTGTTTTTATGTGCATTTCCCTGGCACAACTTGCAATGTTGAACAATAGTAATTAGATTTAGGCATTTGAAACTTGGCATTGTCTGTTCTGTATGGAGTTTGCATGTTCTCTTAGAGTGCTCCAACTTCCTCCCACTATTCAAAAACCTACCAATTTGGTTATTTGGCCTAAATCAACCTATAGGTTTTCTTTTCCATGGTTTGCCCTATGATGGAGTATTAACCCCTCATCTACTTATAAGGTGCAAGGTTTCCTTTTTTATCCTCAAACCTTTTCATCCTTTTATCAGATCAACTGATAAAATCTGTAACCGTTCTCTTTTTACTTTGTACTACAGATCTCTTCAGTCAGACACTTTTAGATGAAAGGTAGTGAACTTTTAAAGCTTGATAACAGTGCTTCACCTCATATCAGATAAAATGCAGTAGAAAGCTTTGCACGACATTGCATTCTTCAGGTCGAGGGGGGGCAGTCTGCTGTTATCTATATACCCGGAGCAGTGAAAGGCAAACATATATGCCAAAAGCCTCCCTTTTTTGCCCATGTTGTCCTCAGTTGTAGCAAAATAATAGTTTTCAATTTAGAGCTGCTGATTTAAAGGTTTTCTTATAACCAGAAGAAAAGTTGAAGAGAAAGTTAAGCTTCTCGTTAAGGGTAAAAAAAAGATAGTTTCCTATATGTATTTATTCACTTTAATACTTCTTAAAGAAGAATCAAATCGTCTTTCAGAAGTTGGGAGATGTTAATATTTGTAAAATGACAAATATAAAATTTTACTTTGCCCGTGGACCTCAGATTGGGGTTGGGCATGTTCATCTGGCAAGGCAGGAGAATAATGAGGCCAACTTCAGTTTGTCTTCAGAAAAAAGGTGGGAGGAGAAATGGTTGACGCAAGTGTAGGCTGGCAAGGGGTTTGTTATGTAGATCTGTTTATCATAAGCTTGAAATCAGCGGAAGGGTTGCCATCTCTACAGATCACCAGAAATACACACACAGCTGCAGGAAAAAGAGGACTAGAAGAGAAAAGATTATTAAATGAGCATATTTATGTTCTTAAAGCTAAACTTAGGACTTCCTCTCAAAAAGAAAAAGATTGTTATCTCAAGTAGACTGGCGACAAAGAGCTAGTTCAACAGTTTAAGAAGGCAAAGAAGTTCCTCCTGACCTTTGGCACAGATTGAAATAAACTTTTGAGTTCAAGAACCAAGAGATCAAACTGAACTGATATTTATATTGGCAGTCACTATGCAAGCTGCATATTGCAATAGAAAGCAGGTGAAGTTAGATGCAGGACAGTGCAGCAAAAGTAGGAATCTTTTAACGGTGTTAAGAATGTCCAATAAGTTGTGAAATTTTCTGCAATTACAAAAAAACAATATGTCTAAGATAGTGGCACAAAAATAAATTCTATTTCCAGTCTTCATGCCATGTGTCTGAAATCATTGATTTATCGTAAATTAGATTTTTTTTATTCAAAAGCATTCACTTTACAGGGAGCAGTATATTTATTTATCTTAATCAAGGAATGAACTCTTTTATTAAATTTTAATTGGCTGCTACTGAGAGTTATAGATTTTGCAGAACAGACATTTTCAGAATGTTAGTTGGAAATTGAAGTGAAACACAGCTTAAACCTGTATTATGTGGATTTTATTCTCTAGTCATCAGTGTTCAAGCCTCTAGGACATCATTTTTTTGGTTAAACTTATAAAGAACATGATCAATTTAAATAAAAAGGGGGCTGAACAGTGTGTCACCTTTTCTGATCTTAAAGAAAAACAGGACAATTTTGATCTCCTTCTTTGATTGTTGTTTTCTCTGATTTGTTGTCTTTGAGCCAAGCTTATATTACTGATATTTTAAATGATTTATCATTAGATTTTAAACTAGTCAGACAAATGTGCACATTAACAAGACTTTAATAGCATCAAACTGACCACAACATGTTATATATTCTAAATGTGTTATGTTTCTCATCTTGTGGCGCATTAACCTTACCTTAATGTCGGATGTGCGTCACAGTTTTCTAGAGCGACAGCCAGATGCTGTGCCCTTTGACCAGAGAACTGCCGTTTAACTAAGTCTTCCCATGTGCTGATTACATTATGAGGAAGAGTGTCATGACAGTGCAGAAATAGAAAAACGTGAAAAGAAGGGTTATAGAAAGCAAGGTCCATTATGATTGGTTTTTAAATCAATCAGTGGTTTTCCCACAGGAACAAAGAGAAGAAGCGTAATATTTTTTACTTTGCTTCTCTTTCTGCTGCTGTTCAGCTGAAGTTAACTGATTTATTGGGAGAGCAAAATTCCCATTTGTTAAATCTGCTCTTGTGAGCAGGTGCATTGGACACTTATAGCCTCCTTAAAACTATAGTTGCGAATTATTTCTTATGTTAAATGACCTGTAGGTATGTTCTTGGCTAATTATTTTATTGTACTGTACCATAAGGCATACCCAGTGGTTTGTCCAGATACATTTTAGAAAAAAACAACAACTGTAAAAGCTTAAACATATTGCTGCTGTGTCCTGTTGTTCATTCACTGGATTTGGACTGATGCTAAGCTAATATATTAAGAATATCCCTCAATGGATACTAGTGCAATCTGTAGGACTTCGTACTCTGACAGAGTGTCGGATTGCTCTTTCATCTTTGGACCAGACTTGCTGTTGCATTTGTTGCCTCAGTTGCACTTTGTGGAAAAGGAGGAAAAGGCATATGAAAAGTGCTATAGGAAGTTTAGAGCAGAATGTTCCCTACATGTGGAACAATCTGTTAGTTTTATTGTGTCTAGGAGGGATTATATTCAGTAATAGTGTTTTATGGAAATCATTTTTATCACCCTAACCACATAAGTGTTGCATTCCTGATTTCTTTTTCTTCTCTTTTTAATTGTTGTTCCTATTACAAATACTTTAATGTCATAAAAGTTGGCAATTACAAAGCTGTCAATTTTTTGACTGCTTTGAATTAGGATTGACCTAAAAAAAAAACAGGAACTGCTGATCTTGACCTCTTGGAAAGCTTTCAAAAAGCTTTGCTCCTTGGATTGAAAGTATACACAGTTAGGGACGGCTCAAAACATTTCCACGATGCTTTCTGTTGCTTTGTCTCTACATGCCTGTTCTTGTGTTAGCCACAGACGTCATAGATTTGTTTTCTTTTCTATTCTCTACTCTTGAGCACTTTTGATACTCATAGATCAGGTGCTGCTTCTTTACCTTTCACCTTGTGCCTGCTGTCTGTGCTTCAGTCTTGACAGGCTCCATCCTGACAGACATTGGTGAACTCTTTACTTAAGTTGAGCGTAGACATGGATATCGCACTATGTGAGACTCATCACCTCTGATCGATCATTTACCAACTGGCCGTAAATTGACCCATTTCACTTGACAGCTCAGTCGCAGGACATGAGCCAACTATGCAGCAGGTCAGCGATAAGCAGCATGTCTCACGCTGTGCACAGTCCTCTAATTAGACCTACATGAGGGTTAATTATCCACACCTATACTTTGCTACTGACATTTATTTCATCTGAGCATTTAGTAGTATAGGTACTGTGTAGATTATTGTGGGTTAGTTGCTAAATTTAAAATAAATGAAAATAATCATTACAGTTTTCTGAAATTCTGTCATACTGTGCTCAGAATTGGGAAAAGTTATACACTGACATTTCTTATGTTTAAGATTATCTGAGCCCTGCTTTAATTTTTATTTTGATGATTATATATTATTTGAAGCTTGAAACTAGCGTGCCCATGTCCAGTTACTGAAAACTATCCAGTTACTGAAAGCACATCTTTCATACAACACCTTTCTGACAAACCATTGATTATGCTTTGGTACAAGTAAAATATAATGACTGTTTAAAACTCTTTCTTACTTTTTTTTGGACTTTTACATCCAATAAGAAGGCTCTTTACTCTTCCTTAGTCTGTTATTGAAAGACTTGGAAAAACATAGAGTATGGTTTCTAGATCCACTCTCTATAGATTTTCTGTTGACAAAATGTTTTCTGGTAATATTTCTGTCGTTATGCTGCAGTTGTTTTTAATCCAAACACATCAACGTAATATTCCATTATATGCATAAATGGGCATGCGTTCTCAATTGCTTGACAACACCTGTTCTGTTCTGACACCCTGCTCTGCAGCTTTTCATGTCAAACTGAGGCGGGAATACACTAGTGGTCAAAAGGAGGTACCTCCTCCTTATTAGGCGTTGCATATCTATACATGATCAAAATGATCTGATCTTTGGCAGGTTTTAAAATTATTTAGTTCAAGCCTCAGGTGTACAGAAGCAAAGGCAAGATTTCACGCTTTCATTAATGTTGCACAGTGTTACCTTGGACTGAATTTATTGTGATGTTAATTCATTAGATTTAACATTTTTGTTTGTTATATATTTTTACTAAAGAATGATAGAATTCAAATTATGTGAAAATGAAGGACTTTTCCTTGCCATTGGGCACCAGAGATGGTCCACCTGGTTATAGCTTTCCATTGAGACAACGTATTAACACAATCTTGCTGATAATTAGAACATATTAAAAAACAGTTGCAGTCTGACCTCATCTTGGTTTAATGAATGCTTAAAGTGTTTAACCTGTCATAGACTGAGCAGATGCATTTTATTATGACCTGGTAACTAATGGCAAGGAGTTAAAAAGAAGACCTACATTCTCCTTGCCATGATTGTCCACAAGATTGTTGCTTGGCAATACGATGGCAACCAGATCAATCTCATCAGCTGTTATTTGTCTCCAAGCTGGAGAATCCGTTTTAAGAGATGAAAGGCTGAGATAGCAGAAAAGACCTGCTTTTCTTAAGGGGGTAAACTGTCGTAACCAGAGGCTTTCAGAGAACAACAGAGAGGCACCCACCAGGATTTCCAGGGATCCAGGCTGAAACCAGGCAGTGTCTCTAAGCGTGCCACCAAACAAACCTCTTTATGGTTTTAACTTTGCAAGCTTTTTTCTTTGTGCATGTTTAATCAAATATTTATCTAGTTTCTGTTGTTTGTCAGAATGGAGAGTAAGCATTGCCTGTTTGTCAGAATTAAGATGACATTAAAAATTTAGATTTTTCTTTGCTGGATGTTGAGTCATGTTTTCTAAATATCCATTTGTGGTCTGTCTCCTCAGATCAGTTCATTATCACTCGACTGGCATTCTATTGACAATGGGATGATTGGTTTCTACCTTACCTGAAACAACACCAAGAAACACCTCATCCTGATGTCAGACGATTCAGACACCAAGCCCTATCACCTGCCTGTTCCGGCGGACCGTGATGGAACCTCTGGGTGCAGAGACTCAGCTTCGAGTAGTTCCATCTCAAGTGGAGCCTCTGGGTGCAGTCCCATGGCACAGATGCACTGGGTGGGCAGCTATGGCCAGGGTGGACCTGACATTGGCCTGCCCTCCGAGGGCAGTGACAGCAGCGGTCAGGACCCTGCCCTCTCACCGCGCAGTGTACGAAAGACCTCGCGTTCTCGGCTTCCTCCTGAGGAGGATGTGGAAATGAAGAGCAGTGGGTCGAGTGGCAGCGGGACCGAATCGCATGGCAATGAGAGCCATGGAAACGAGAGTCATGGGAACGAAAGCAACGGTCATGAGTCAACAGGCAGCTCCAATGGCCACAGCAAAGACTCAGCATTGCTTGGGTCTTCAGAAAGCAATAAAAGGTAAGAGATTATATGATTTTTGATATGTCAAAGTCAAATAAAACAAAAAAAATTTTGAAGGGGTACTTGCGAAACTCCTGTGCAGGAATCCCCTGTATGGTTACTTCACTCACTCCCCTTTATCAAACTCCATAATATTTCAAGATTTTTAATTGTTATTGGAATGTTTTGTCTTTTTTCTATATAAATTCAAATTAGGGCTGAAACAATTAATGGGATTAGTCATGATTAATCTATTATTGAAATTATGGTCAACTAATTTAGTAATCAATTTATCATTAACTGGAGTTTATACTGTAAAATATGCCTTTAGGTGACAGATCAACCAACGCTTTGAGCAGTAACTATACCAAAATTGTAAAAAAAAATAAATAAACATTTTGCATTTAACATAAAAAAAAGCCTTTTTTTCTGTCAATATGCCCTAACCAGAACTCCTCAAGTTGAAATGTTTTAGTTTCGGCTGATTTAAGTTAATAAAAATTCTTCTTTAAGGAGCCTTTTGCTATCCGATTATTACTCGATTAATCAAAAAAATAATCGCCAGATTAATCGATTTACAAAATAATTGTTAGTTGCAGCCCTAATTCAAATGTTGCTTTGTCGTCACAGTTTACAGTAATAACATATTGTAATAACATCTTTACAGTAATAACACAACCACAGTTAGATGAGGTGATCCTTTTTTGTTTAGCTGCTCTGCTAAGAAATTAGTTTTCTGTTGTCACTTGATGCTTTAGGACTTCATTATAATTTTAATGAATTATTTACTAACCTATAGATTTATGCTTATGCTTATGTAAACAAACACCATGAGGTCTTTTGGAACAGCTGTCACAGCAAGGCCATTTGCCACTTGCGACACTGTAACTTATGACTACTAGTTTACTAGCAATAGGCTGAAATTAACTGATTGTTAACCATTTAAATGGCTAACTTAGCTATTAGCATGTTAGAGGTTAGAGCACATTACTACATAAGTTTTTCTGCTACTGTGTCTTAATGCCACAAAGCCCAATTTTTATGTTCATTCTAAATGATAAAAATTGTTTTTTATCATTTTTTTTTTCACTAATCATGAAAAATACACTTTGAATTTCAGTTTGATCTCACAGCTCCTTAGGCGAAAGTTTTATGGCAACCGCATTACAACAAGAATGTATTTACATTATGATTCATTTCCTCTTTCAATTATACCGTCTAGCAGTCTTGCAGCAGCTGGAAGAAATCTAAAAAACTATTTCCATTCCTTATTAACGGCAAAAAGATCTCATGCAATCACTACTTGTTATTCAACACAATCAGACATCCTGTTTAAAGTAATTTTGCAGCAGGGCCTGAACATTTGAATTTATTATTTAGCAAACACAAAAGCATTTTTACAAGCAGCACAGTAGAGTCCTTATTGCTGCCATAAAGTTTCATGCAGAATTTAGTTTACTAGTTTACCCACTCGGTCATTCACCTCATGTATGCTGATCAGTGATTGCGATTTATCTACCAAAAGCAGCACATGTTTTCAAATGAGACTTTAGTCAGTAGATCAACAAAAAAAGTAAAAAGAGTATTGGAACAGCAAAGAAGTGTTTTTTTATTTCATAGAGTTGGCTAATAAATTGTCCTTTATTGCCACATGAATTAAATAATCAACTAATTAACTGTACTTATATACATTTTCATGGAGGGGGTTATGCAAAATTAGGCTCTCTTGCATTTGTCGTCATGATTACCCTTGGCATTTAAACGCAGATGGCATGAAAATGAGAAATTCTATCCTTTTAATGGGTCATACTGAATAGATCTATGAATGCTGAATGCATTTGCCGGAACTGACTGATGTCAGAAGGAGAGTGAGTCAAAGCTTTAGTGATGCCCAGCAAGCTGTTGACCTAATAAATTAGTAGCAATGTTTTTATGATCCCCCCCCCCCCCCCCCCACCTCACTATCACCCACCATTATATAAAGACAAGATTTTTAACTGATGCTTCATAAACAACTGTTTCATTATACTTACACTTCTCAAAGTAAAGATATTATGGAAGTGTCATGTTGTGATAACAAATTACATTTCCCAAAGTTATTTTGGTAAAAGGAAAATGTAATTAGGGAAAACTTTTTACTGATTGGAAACAGACTGCTCACAAAAACGGTTCAGAATATAATACTGTCATCTGATGGCAATTTACAGGTACAATTAAAATCAACTCCTAATGTTTTATATCTAATCCAATTTTGTATCTAAAACTTTGGTGGGCAAATGATTACTTCTTTCTATCTAAGGAGACCCAGCTGGGACAGCTTCTCTACTGCAGACATGCATCAACATCTATTATTTCTGATTATCTGTGTGCAGTATTTTTTATCTTTAAATTAGTTATTTACACTTTTTTATATATATAAATATCAAATCTTGTAATAAAAGTCATGTAGAGCCTTTCAGTTTAAGGGTTTTTTGGAGATGTCAAACTTTCATCTGGGAGATCAGAGTTGGGTTCAATAAAAAAGTTTTAAAAACTCAAGAAGTTGTGCCTTGTCGTCATCATATCCAGAATTAGCCTCAGACTCTCAGTTTGGCCAGGAGACGTCCAGAAAAGAGAGGCAAATGAATGAGTACATCACCCGGCAGGAAAAGCAAATTGATGTCATCTTGAAGGCTGGGAACTGGCTTCTCTTCAATGCCAGATTGCCTGTGTCATGGTCTCCGACTTCTTGTTGCCATGACAATGCACTGTTTGTGTCTGTTTATCCCTGGGTGGAGCGACCCAGAGTCGAAAGCTCTGACGTCTTTAGTCTCACTTTAAGCCCTGCCTTATTCTATCCTGCCCTTGCTCCGTTTGATCAGAGCTTTTTGTTTACCCCACTCCTTTTTTCCTCTATGGTCTGGATCCCTCCTGGCATTTAACTCCCTGTCTGTAAGCAGAGTGACGTATTTTAAACCCAAATATCACCTTCTGGTTTTTGTTGGAAAATGTCACCTCTGCTTGCCAATTCTTACTCAGCTCAGTTCACTTTCTAAGTTTCAGTTCTCTGTGTAGGAGGTAAACTTCTGAATATTCAATATTTGATCTCTTATTTTCCTACTCTAGATCACTGTGTAGGATTATACCAATAAAAAAAAAAACACAAACCAGTCACTCGGTGACACTAGATTTATTTAATCTAATATTTTAGAAAAGGCAAGTAAACATCTTTTCTTTACTTAATCAAATAATGTATGTTCTTAATATTTCTAAACATTGGAACACCTTATCACTCCCCTGGCTAAAGTAACTTCAGCGAGACACTTCTTGTAACCCTCTACCAGACTTTGACATCGATCTAGGGAAAGGTAGCTACAACTCATTCTACAGGGTCAAGATCTGAATTTTGACAAGACCCAGGACTGTTCCTTTGTTAGTTCTTTGTGGTACTGAATGTATATCTATTGTGTTGTAGAGCAGTCCCCTCACACACCCTGCTCTGGAGCAACAAGCATTAACAGTAACATTTTAGTCTCAGAAACTGTATTGACCTTGTGCTTATCTTGAGTTTGAGTTAATCAACAATAACTTAGTTGGCACCCTGATACCTGTGTCCTGCATGTTTTAGCTGCACCCATTCATATGTATGACATCTTTATTAATTTTGTTAAACTATTTCCTTTATTTTTACCTTTTATATATTTATCATAATGATAACAATCATATTTTGTTTATTTACTACTATTAGTATGCAAGTCAGTCATGGGATTCTCACACGTGCTTATACCGAAGTCCAAACTTCTCCCTGGCAACATTTATTTGTAAACTTGCATGCAAGCAGTGAGCTTTTCTGCAGTTCATTCAGAGCTCCCTGATGAGTCATGTTTTTTATGACATTTTTAATTTCCCGTAAGTGAAAGTCTAAGTGAATCTAGAAATACATCACTGGCATAAAAGCTGCTTAAAATGTGTCACTAAGACAACACCTCTCTGCAACAGACCCTCTGGGTTTACAGAATGTTGGGGGTAATAATATCCTACAATACCAGCAGAGCAGTTTGTTCAGGTGTATTGGTTCAACCGAAGGCTCTGATAGTTTCAGTTTTTGGACATAGCCGCTGTATTTTTAATAGAAAATTAAAATGTTTCTAATTTCATCTGAATTACTTATTGATGTGTTTTCAATTCATAGTCATTACATATAATGAACAAACCCCTGGAAGCTAAATGGAGTCCATTGCCATTTGTATTTTATTTATTTCATTTTCTGTTCCATTTATTCTCCTTTAACATGGAGGATGCACCAACCTGTCAGAGGAAGGTTTTTAATTAAACAAGGCAAGCTTGCTACGACCTTGGTTTTGTGTTTCTGCTCCCAAAGGACACCTGAAATGTATCTTGTATTACCTTTTTGAGCACCCTCTTTACATAACTCTCCACTGACCTACAGATTCCCTACTACAGTTCCAATTAGCTTACAGGACACTTAGACATATTTAGACTGTCTTGTCTAAACCCAGCTGTTGCATTGTACAGGATTGAAGGCTATTTTGATTCAATTAGATCCCTCTTTGGGCTCACAGTGGCTATTTGTGAGTATGTTGCATATTCTTAGCAGGTAAGCCTGTTATTTATAGTAGCTCAGTTTGAGATGAGTCAGATTCTCAGACGGCTGCTAATAGTGCTGATCTGTAGGCTAATACTTTGTGTACATGATAAGAAGACTTAACAGACAACGGGACCTTCTGTGTACTACAGGCTTAAATTAAACCAGGACTCACCTGTGCCTGGAGTAAAGATGGGTCCTATTTTCAACCAGCTAAGGTTGTTATATTTAGTACACCGAGTTGTAGTAGGGTGTTGATGTTAGTTATAAGCTTGTGGGTTAACACCTTAGGTTGGATGCACACTCTACAGCTTTTAGAGAAATTAATTTAACAAAGGTTCTTTCACAACCTCCTGTAGATGGATATTTAGTTTTTCAGAACCTTTAAGCAGAGCTCCAACTTTCCCAACTGGTCGATCAGCTGAGTGTGGCCCTGAATTGACGTCTTAGAGCTGTTTGTTTTTAAAATTCTGTTATTATCTGAGGGTTTTTAGAGCGAGGAAGGTCATGGTTTGTTTGGTACAGAGTTGGTGTTCTAGTTGACTGCAAACTAATTCTGTTTTAACCTTTTTTCCTAATGTTGATATATTTTTTCTAAATTCCCTTTGATACAGATTTAAAAGAAAGCTACTTTTATCGGTGTAGTTCAATGAGTATCCATTCTATGTACATGTATTTTTATATAATTAAGATGGTGTTCCCTTTTTTTGTAAGATTCATTGAAAAGTGTAGAAAAGACAAACTAGTCAAGAGGTTGACTGGATTAAAAAGCACCGACTTTGAATGTATTCAATTCCATCAATTAAGGATGTAATTGCAATTTAAAATGGAGGGATCTCTCTTAAAATCAAAATATATTTTAAATATGTTTGGTAACTACATTTAAAAATTGAAAAGCATGTATTGTACATAGCTGTTACACACAGAATAATGTGTTTTAAGAGCTTATTTCCGAAAAACCTAATTTACAGTTATTAGAAAATAAGATTATGGGTATTGATGATAAAATATGTATAATATATATTAAATTCACAGAAAAAAAAGCTTGATTCTATTCCTGTGTCTTTCAGTTACTGAAAAAAATACCCTTTTTTATGAGGTTTATTTGAAAAGGTTGACTTAGTTAGGTTAAGTAGTGAAGTCACCGAAGGCAGCTTTGACAAAACTTAAATTGCACTTTTTAAATCTGAACACCAAGACAACAAGCTGGGATTTCTTTTTATCCCTCACTGCCCCCAGTTGGGCTTCGACCTTACACTGGGAAACACTGATGTATTCTTGCTGTGCAACCATTGAGCTGCAGGGAGCAAATTGAGTCCTTCAAGTAGTTAACAAAGATTTCAGGATAAGAGTGTGAACCTGTTTTGTTACTTGGCTGCTAAATGTGCAAAAAAATGGATCTGAAGCACAAAGCACAATGTTCCAACAGTAAAAGCAGAAAAACCCAGCTGTTCTTCCTTTAAAAACAGCTAAAAGTGTGAAAATTTGGTGACACTTGTCCTATTTTACTGAAGGAAACTTGAGCACCTCAGATGTGTCTAGGGAATGTGATAAGTTTGTACTGCTCTAGAGAAAGATGTGAAAATCATTTTTCTGCCAATCAATTTTATTGAAACTGAAGTCTTTTCTTTCTTAGCACAATGTCAAAATTTCCTTTTCTCCTCACAGTTCGAACTCCCACAGCCCATATCCTCCAAGCAGCTCCAACGCCTACAGTCTGCTTAGCTCGGAGCAGGACAACCCTTCAACCAGCGGCTGCAGGTTAGCCTAATCACCACTGCTGTCTGGATCAGGATCTTTTATTTAGTCTGTAAATAAAATACGCTTTTCATCAGTGCTTTGAGTGACTCTTGGTTCTTTATCTGTCCGTCTTGCAGTAGTCAGGAATCTGCAAAGGCTAAGAAGCAGAAGGAGGTCATTAAAACTCTTAAGGAGCTGAAGCTTCATGTACCAGCTGACAAGCAGCACAACTGCAAATCCACCACACTGAGTGCCCTGAAGTATGCCTTGCGCTGTGTAAAGCAAGTGGAAGGTAGGTCACTTACATAAAAAAATAGCCCTTCTGTTTTGGTGATTGTTAATTATTTTTTATGAGTATTTCACTTTACATTTATTAGTAAACACAGAAACACAGCTATGATTTATCCAACAAGTCAGTCTTTCTTCAGTGCACCACAGAGAAAGGGTAAAGCTATAATTTGGAGCAGCGTTTGCACATAGTCATGGAGGTAATGGCCTGTAAACGTTTGCAGAGGTAAATGGGTGGGTTGGTGCTCAGTAGAACAATTCTTCAGTTATTCAGTCTGAAAAGTTTCATTATTAAAAAATGTCTTTGGCATCAGTGTTGTGGGCGTCTTGGAATGCCTTCCTTACTGTTTTGTGTGTTGACCAAATTTGGACAAAACCCATCTTATTTCAGCGAATGAGGAGTACTACCAGCTGATGATGATCAATGACAACCATCCCTCTGGCCTGGACGTCTCTTCTTACACCATAGAGGAGATAGACAGCATAACTTCAGAGTACACCCTTAAAAACAATGTAAGACAAAGTCCTTTTTTTGCTTTCCTGAGCTTAACCTGTGCAGGTCACTGATTTTTAATGTTATTTTTGCCAACAGGACATTTTCGCAGTGGCAGTGTCCCTGGGCACAGGAAAGGTTATCTATATATCTGACCAGGCTGCCTCCATCCTTAACTGCAAAAGAGATGTGTTCAAGGACTCTAAGTTTGTGGAGTTCCTGATGCCACAGGATGTCAGTGTGTTTTACAGCTTCACCACCCCTTACCGCCTGCCCTCCTGGAGCATGTGCACCGGAGCAGGTACCAAAAGCCACACCTCTCTCTCCAGAGTAGTGCTTCATTTAAGGGCCATTTTTAATCTAAAGATTGATTTTGTTGTCATTTGAGAAACACTTTAAAATAATTTCTTTTAAAATATAATTTAAAGATCTAATTTAATTGTATAATGTTGGCTTGCCTTATATTGCAGATTTCCATCACTCTCATATATAAAACCAAAGCCAACTGTAGATGTATTTATATGGTGCCTTTGAAACCTTTTACATTTTTACATTAAGACTTACCTAAATTTTATTATTGATTTGGACAAACACAAGAGAAAAGGTAAATGAAAAATGGGTTTTAAAGTTAAACCTGCAGCTGTTAGTAAGTTGCATTTCATCATAAATGTGCAACTTTGTGTTGTTTGTGACTGCCATTCCCTTGGCATGGGTGGTCGCTAACTTGGGGAAAATAAGTCTCATCTGTAACTTTCTTGTCCCACCTGAGCTGTCGACTTTTGCAGCTCCTCCCTAGTGGATGCTTAAGATGACAGTTATATAACCCAATGCGGATTTAGTCTTCTGCAAAACATTATCTCTGACCTTTCTGAGGCTTGTGTTGGTCTTTTTTTAAGGCAATCTGTACAGAAAGCCTTAAATTAAGAACAGGTGGGTGTATTTACTTGTTAGATCCCCTTCGATGAGAATTGGTTGTGCAAAACATTATTTAGGGGTAAAGTCTTGAGATTTGTATTTGTGAAACATTTTTAAAACTTTATTTTTTCCCTTTGAACTCACAATTATGCACAACTCTGTTGGTCAATCACAAAACATCACAAAAAACACATAAAGCTTATAATAGTAATCTGACAATGTATGGAAAATGAACATTTTGAAAGTTGCTAATGCTTTTGCAAGGCCATATAAAATAGGTTATAATTACCCTTTTATTTTAGCTTAGAACAGCAAATGGTTTCTATTCATAGTGAATAATTAGAGTGAAAACTGGAGGTTCTAGTGCGTAATATTAAAGTAAATATGATTGTTACTTTCTGAAGTTGTATGATTAGGTGATTATGTTGAAGAAATTAATTATTTATTTGACCCTCTTACATATATTACATATTTAGCGTGTGTAGGGCCGGGTTTCTGAATGATGCTCTTTGATGCATTTATCCAAACCTGATGCAGCTGCGTTTGCCTGCATCCTGGCCTGTTTGGGATCCTTTTGAATTTACAGGTGTGTTTTTCCTCTTTCAGATCCATCTCCTTCTGACTGTATGCAGGAGAAGTCCTTTTTCTGTCGTATCAGGTTGGTTTAGCGTCAGTCCTTGCACATGTCATCCCATCTGCTGCTCTTACCTGCCGGTTGTTTATATTCAAGCTTTTCATTTCAGTGTAGATGTTTCTTAATTGCTCTGTGATGTCACATGCGTACATGCCATAATGAGATGCTTCTCCCAGGTTGACCTAATACTTTTATGCAGAAACACACAGAAATCAAAAGCACCGTTTGTATTTATTAAGGTGATTGGATTTTTCCTTTAATTTTTATGAGCTGATATGAAAATGAATATTTTAAGTTATTTTAAATTCCAACAATTTCAAAACTTACAAATTTAAGTTTGCTTCATTTTATATTGACCTAATTAGAAGGGAAAATAGGTGATGAATACTGCCCCCATGTGTTCGTTTTTAAAACTAAAAGTAGATAGTTTTAATACATAGCTGAATCAGACATGTTGATTTTTCCCCCCTTTCAATAATTAATTGCCAACTGATTGTTTTTTGATAAATTCTCAGTGGCGGTAAGGAGTTTGAGGGTGAGCTGCGGTACTATCCTTTCCGCATGACCCCTTATCTGATGAAGGTGCAGGACAGGTCTCATGATGAGGACCAGTTCTGCTGCCTCCTGCTGGCTGAGAGGGTTCACTCTGGATATGAAGGTAAAACAAAACACCTCTGGGATTAAAACTTATTTATAATCATAAAAAAAAAAATCAGTGATTGTAATTATGTTTCTAAATTCTTCTCAGCTCCCAGAATTCCACCGGATAAGCAAATCTTCACCACCACACACACCCCTAACTGTGTTTTTCAGGATGTAGATGAGAGGTAAGCCTTCATTGTTTTGTTTTTTTTAAGCTTAAAGTGCCTTGCAGACGTATTCCCACCGTTTTAAACAATTTTGCATTTTCACCACCAAAAACAAATTTTTGTTCTTAGGAATTTACTGTAAAAGACCAGCACAAAGTAGACACAGCAACTTAATTTATGACGTACCTAAAAGCAGCTAGAACTGAAAAAAATGTCAATACATCTGACATCCTATACTGAGTTAATCACCAACGCAGAGGAGGCTATTGAGAGGAGATTTAAGATTGGCTAAAGAAGCTGTTCATTAACTTTGGGGCTGTAACAACAAATCCCCTTTCCTTCTGGAATAAAGAGTGTCATTGTAATTGAAAGGAATTACACCTTTAATTACACCAGTCTAAAACAAGATTTAACTCTCATCTTTACAATTTCATTGTAACTCTGGTTGTGTTGAAGTCTTTTACAGCCTTCAGCAGGTCCAGTTCCAGGGCTGGCCTGTTCATATCACTATAGTCATAAATTCTGACCAGCTCAGTTGACTATTATGAAGAAAAGCATCCCAACAGCATGATGCTGCCACCACTGTGTTTTTTATAAGGGGTGTTCTGGGTGATGTGCAAGATTAGTTGTCTGCTACATAGTATTTGATTTTTGTATCATCTCTGCAGAGCCCTTTTTTCACAGTTTCACTGTTATCTTTTCAAGACTTTTAGCAGAAAGGATATTATTTATCATAAAATATAGTGGTTCAAATTGGGGTGACACAAAATTTCAGGAGGTATGATAAGAGGTATCCTGTGCTTCCAATCTCTACATGTGTAACATTAACAGCATTAATTTTGTCATGTTTTATGTCAGGGCTGTTCCTCTCCTTGGCTACCTCCCCCAGGACCTGATTGGAACTCCGATCCTTTTCCACTTGCATCCCAATGACCGGCCCACAATGCTAGCCATTCACAGAAAGAGTAAGTCCAGTGGATCAAACAGATTTTGGATCAGTTATGTGAATGATCGGACTCTTAATTCTTCAAATGTTTTGTTCCAGCATTACAGAATGCCGGGCAACCGTTTGACCACTCATCTATCCGCTTCTGTGCTCAAAACGGAGAATACATAGTCCTGGACACCAGCTGGTCCAGCTTTGTGAATCCCTGGAGCCGAAAGGTTTCCTTCGTTATCGGGAGGCACAAAGTTCGTATGTAAGTACTGCTCATGTTTTTTGTACAAATACCATTTTTTATTTTTTTTTTAACAGAAGCAATAATTAAAAACATTTTCCTTCATTTTTAAGTGTCTTTAAATGCTATCTGTTGGTGTTTTCCCACAAGGGGCCCTATGAATGAGGATATTTTCATGACTCCAGTCTCCTCTATGGGCCACATAAAGAACATGGACCCTGACATCCAGGAAATAACGGAGCAGATCCATCGGCTTTTGCTGCAGGTAAACCAAGATGTCCACCTAACAGTACTGCACAAAAGGCTTCAGGCTTTCTTTTATCATTTAAAGGGAATTTGATTAATAGTTGGGATTTAGCTTTTAACCAATTTTTTAATTATTTTAAGTTTTCTATTTCAAAACTTCACTTTAAGTTAGAATATATCTGTAGTGTTAGATTTTATTGTTAGTCTGAAATTTCTTTTTTAAAAGTTTAAAGTTTACAGGAAAATCTGTTTCGAAAACTTAGTAAATAACTTTTAATCTACATAAAGTAAAGAATTAGATAAACATATTTCCAAAAACTTAAAAACCAAAATTAAATTTAAAAATGTTAAGGTATGGCAGCACCTGTTTAACTTATTTTTTCTTACCCTTTTCTTGCCTCCTCTCCATCGGTTATCAGCCAGTTCACAACAGCGGATCTAGCGGTTACAGCAGTCTAAACAGCAATGAGTACCTTCAGAGCATGACCTCCTCCTCTAGTGACAGCCTGAGCAACAGCAAAGGAGGGAAAATACAACAAAAGGAAGCAGAACTGAGCAGCAAAAGCAGACCTGTGAGTAAAACAGCATATATATGTCTCATATCACTGCAGATTTTATTGGTAAATCTCTGAAACCACCTAACTGCATGGTGTGTTATGGGAACAACTCATGACTTTCTGCGATTCCACAGCGAACCTTTCATGAAATATGTAAAGGAATCCATCTTCAGAAGAGTCAAGAGCAGCAGACTTCCAAATCAGAACATAAAAAAAGCAGTGCTAGTAAGTTTTGTTTCTTTTTTGTCATTAATATAATGCCATATTTGCAGTTTTGATCCAAACGTAATTGTTAATGTATCTCCACTAGCGTCTGAACCGAACACCCAGGCTGTGGTACGTCTCAAAGACACAGCCCCTCCGATCAGCTGGAGGGAGGCCAACGCGGCAGACAGTCGTAACTCTTTTCCTGAGGAGTTTGGCCTAAACGATCAGGCTGTCTACTCCTATCAGCAAATCAGCTGTCTAGATGGTGTCATCAGGTATACAGATAACATATGACATCACTGATCAGTAGCTGCAACAGCAACCTGTTGATTAGCTTTTATACCTCAATACATTTTCTGACTGTAAAACACATTCTATCAAATCTTACAGTTTTTGTCTGGTCCGAAAAGCTATTAGGAGACCATCTGATAATCCAGCATCTGCCTTAGTCTATGATCTCTTAAACTGACTTGTGAACTTTCCGATGTTTCTTAATCTCAGAGGAAAGTTCAGCAATGAAAACACAGCTGTTGATCAACAAAACCAGAGCTGCTATTTCAAGCTTCAAAAGATTTTCACCAACTTCAACACCTTTAAAACATATTTTCTATTCATTTGTTGTTCCTTGACCTTACAGCTAACTAGCTGATAAGTGAGGAAGACAGAAACTGACTTTAGTGTCTTGACTGGCTCTTGCAGGTACCTGGAGGGCTATAACGTTCTCGTCATTAAGAAAAGAAAGTGCCAGTCGTCCTCCAACACCACCTCCTCTAACTCCGATGAGGACAGACAGAAGAAGTCACATGCAGTGCAGATCTCTGAAGGTACATATAAGTTGCTGCATTCCCTCCAATAAAAACGACCAGATTTGCTATGTCTTTAAACAAAACTAAAAGCCCTTTTCAGGATTTCACGCTCTTTCCTGTAAACTCATTCTCTTTCTCTCTCAGCCGACTCAAATGCCAGAGCCTTATCTGTAGCTGTTGTTCTCTGTTCTCTTTGGCAGAACCAACCTTATCGAAGGATCAGTCTGGTCTTTCTGCTTTGGACGATGCTCACAAAAAGACCAGTGAAGCTGCTACAGCGGTAGTAGGCACTACCATGCCCCTACCAGTGCCAAACAAACCAGAAAGCGTCGTGTCCATTACCAGCCAATGTAGCTACAGTAGCACTATAGTGCATGTTGGGGACAAGAAACCTCAACCTGAGTCAGGTACAGTGGAGACATAAGCCTCCAGTCAGAATCTCTCTACTCGTCAAGATGTTTACACCAAAACACTTCTGGTGACGGAGAATATCTGTATGTCATTGAAACGATGATGGAATAATGATAAATGATGATAGAAGCGTCCTAAACTAAACTATGGACATCCAAGCTCTTATGTTTTTATATTTTGTCTTAGAGAATCAGATTAAATCATTTTTGCCTTTTATGGATCACTTTTTTAGAATTTAAACTGCATAATATAACAAAAGTAAAATAAAAAGGCATGTCTAGGGTCTCTGTGTCTTTATGTGCTAATATTTACTTACTCCAACAGCCCCTTGGACACATTTACTTTGGAAACAGTAAAAAAAGAATATTTCCAGGATATACACAGTCTTTGTCACCAGAATTGTTCAACTTAATCTAAAGACTAAAGCTGCTGTCACTCTGTTTCATATCTTGCCACCTACAAGAGAGGGTCTAAAAACCTTTTTATATGGGTCAAAATGTGAACTAATAGAGCATTTTGTGAAACATTAATTCATATCATGCATATGAAAATGTTGGAGTTTTGATTGCATGACCATCTTGTGCTACAATTTCAATGCTCCAAACACTGTCTATCTTAAGAGCCTTAAATCCCATATGGTTAAATAATTATTAGCTGAACTTTTTGGAAAATGGCTCCAAACATATCAGCCATTTCAAGCATTTAGCATGCTGATGTGAGTTAATCATCTTCAGAACACACAGAGGATCTACAAGTTGTAATATGAGATTGATTTGGTATCACTGGGTTCATTTAGCAACACTGTCTAAATGGTGGCACAGTTTTAGACATGTTGCCTTGTAGCCAGTGCCTAATGGGGTCTGCATGGAGTTTGCATGTTATTTCTGTGCATAGGTACTTTACATGTAGTCCAAGTTTCTCCTACAATACAAAAGCATGCATGTTAGATTAACTTGATGTTGAATTGTGATTTATGCATGTATCTTTGTAGCTGGGCTCTAGGGCCCAATGATTATAGAAAACGGATGAATTGATGGATGTTTCAAAATCTGAAATTAAATTCTGTCAAAGCTGCCACAGGTGCCTATAAACAATCAGATTGCCACTTTTTCTCTTATGCTACATAATTTGACAATGTCCAAAATGTTTGTTGGAGATTAAATATGCATGTTTATCATTATTCAGCATTATTAATTCACAACTGCTTAGTTGTGGACAGTTACGATTTTTATAATGATGATATGTGATTTTGCTCCAAGTAAAGAAGTATCTAACTTGAGATATCAGCTGTTTTCCACCAGTTTCAGCCTTTTACATATTAAGCATTCTTTAAGCTATTTCCTAGAATGCCCTAACTTCAACTTTTATACCTGCCTCTAGCCTCTACAGAATCTGCATTTATAATTGTGTACCCAATGCACAGCCATGGAGGAAAACTTTGCCAAGAATGAATCATATCTGAGGCTAATTTTAGTTGCATTGGATTCACAATTTACTATTTTGACCTAGTTAACAAGTCTTTTAGGAAGTTTAATTCGTTTTTGACCATATATAGTTCGGAAACATACTTTTGTGTAATATTACAGTGAAAATTGATTATTTAAGATGGACATGATGGAAGAATTAAAAAAACATGTCAAAAAATATGTATTTCCTGCTTGGAATTACAAGCTCCATGGATTGAGACATGCTAAAGAAAACATCTTAAGCAGCCAAAACCTTAACTTATTAAAAGCTGTTTAAAGATAATAAAAAAAAAAAATACTTTTTTATGATTTATAAAATGTCTATTTAATTCCATCCATCCATTCATCCAGGCTTTGGTTAAGATAGCTGGTGCTTGTTTGTTTGTGTGTGAGGTGATCAAGGCAACATTCATGCATGAACCTCCTCTGGCCATAGAGACATGAAGCAGATATGTAATAGAGTGACAGGAGTATAAATGTCGAAGGAAAAGCAGCTTATTCAATCTAGTATACATCGTTTCATATAGCTAAACTGTTACAATGTTCGTTCAATATTTATCAGCTGGTTACACCAGGCTGGTTTGTTGTTTTGGTTTCTGTTGGTTACCTGTAGCCTTGTTTTTTTATTGATTATTCTTGTTTGTTGTATTTAGCTTTTTAACCAAATTAGAAGATTGTTCTCTAAGGACTGATTCAGGTTACGTTTAATTATGAAATCCAAACAACCTTAAATACCTCAGTAAACAATGGAGGCAGTGAACAAGTCTGCATCCAGGTTTAAAGAACAACATCAGATGTTTTTTTTTAGGTGGAAATGTCAGTGCTGTTGTGCAAATTAAGTAATTTACTTTGACTGTCATGAGGAGTAATTGTTTAATTGCTCTGGTCAGATGATCTTTCTCTCTTAGTTGATATCAAAATACAAAATAATTCTTCATGCTTTTAAGGAGAATTTAGGAGTACACCAAATGGATTTAATGGGATGGTATTAAGCCTCACATTATAAGTGTCGACATGACAATTTCACAACTACTTAAGTCAGATTGATACACATACTCTTTCCCATTATTAGCACATTGCACAGGTTTATATGATGGCCTGCTGTTTTCATGTTTTTTTTGCTAATACAGTTTTCAGACAGTTGTTTAAGGGGGTGAACATGTATATCTGCAGGGCCTTACCACTTGTGAAGCAAACTGAAAGAAAATATGTGTGGCTAAGTGGAGAAGGTTGAAGTGATACCATGGAGATTTAGTCTAATTCTGATGCTTACAGACTGTGGGCTGATGGAAATTTGTAAAGTCTAGGACTTTTGAACTAATACAATGTGACTTGGGCAACAAAATATTGTTAAAACAAGGAGCTAATATGATCTCCTGTTTTGTAGCTGCAATTGGTATATCATAGTAATGTATTACTGTTATTACGTAAATGTTATGTCTTGTCTGTGATTTTGATCTGCTAAGTAGTGAAATGTCAGAAAAGGTGTTAGTATCTGCTTCTGTGACAGCTTGTGTGGTACTGGTCCTGTCTTTGCTGTGTTTCTCATTATAGCTGATGGTTTACAGGTATACTACATAATACAGTGATTTGAAGCTCTTATCTCATTGTCATCCTTACAGAGATCACAGAGGATGTACCTGCTGCAGGAGAGATGCCAGAATCGTGCCAGAACCTCAGTGCTCCTCATCCAATTTCACCTCCCAGTCAGGAGATGGAGTCCTACAAGAAACTGGGTCTGACTAAGCAGGTGTTGGCAGCTCACACACAGAAAGAGGAGCAGGTCTTTCTCTGTCGCATCCGAGAGCTTCGAGGAATGGCTCCCCACAAAACAAGCTGCTGCCAACCCCTGGATCAACAGAAAGATGAGCGCACCATCACTGGTACAACTACACATTAAAAATCACATATACTATTTAAACAGATTACATTTAAAATCCAGTTGGCCCACCACTCTGACAGACTCTGTTTTTTATTCAAAATAGAAAATAACATTTAATTTATTCAAATTGAATATTTTCACATTTTGTCAAAGCAACAACAAAACATTTTTTTACAATAGAAATATAATCAAAATCATGCATGCATTTGTATTAAGCTTCATTCTCTTTGTTATGCTTAAATGTTAAATGGCCTGTATTCTTATAGCATTTTATCAAGTCCAAGGAGCCCTAAATGCTTAACATTACATTCAGATATTCACCCACATTCAAGCATACTTTTCTAAGGGGAGTGGAGATGCCTTTTGCATTTATTCTTTCAGAGATAAATGCAGCAGTTGTAACAATAATTTATATAAAATACACTAGTTGTTCTGGTATTCATCACTAAAAAGATAAACAAAAAACTTAGTGTATTCATTCAAGTTAGTCTTTGCAAAAAAGTTAAGTATCAAAGCAGTTAGTAGTTTTTTGGAATATTATACGCATGTGCTACAGAGGTTTCATTTAGAGCTTTTAGACTGTAATTAAATATATGTAGCCTATATAAATGAATACATGTTTTGGCTAAATTATTACAATTAAAATGCAATGATGGAAAAAAAATATATATTTTCAACATTCAGTTATGAGGAACCTGTGCTGGTGTAGTTGTTAGGATGGCTGTTGACCAGGAAGTCAAACCACATCAGACATGTTCTAATGCTTTTACATATTAAAATGCAATTCGCTTTTACCATTTACTAAAATAAAATATGAAATCAAATGTCAGAATTAAAGAAAAAAAGCATTTATAAAATGACTAATTAATATTCAAACTTAATTCAAAGCTGCACGTGCTGTTCAGACCAGGAAACAGGAGGCTCAGCGACCAGAGGCGACGTCACGCCGAGGAACACGAAACAAGAAGACCAAAACCAAGAGAGCAAAGCTAATTGTTTCTCCAAACAGCTCAGCATCTCCTCACAAAGAGCGAAAGCCGGAGAAGCCGCGTCCTCGGACAAACCAGAGCCCTACACAGACCCTGTTATCATCTTCTGATGCCCAACGACCCACATTCCCTGCACCGTATCCAGTCATGATGCCAGGCTACCCAGTGCAGATTTTCCCCAGAGCCGATTCTGCATTTCCACATACTGAAGCCCCCCCACAAGACTTAGGGGGTAACCAGGGTGCTCATTTTTCTTCATTCTCCCAAGGGACTCCTTCTGCTCCCTTCACCCCTCAAATGGTCACCCCTATCATGGCTGTTTTGCTGCCGAACTATGTATACCCTTTCATCAGGCATCCAGCACCAGCAGTGCCAGTGTATCCTGTAGACTCTGGTGGTGTCCCACTTCACCTGCAGCCTTCTGATCAGGCTGCGTTTCCAGGCCAAGGCGCCTTCACATCCCCACCTTTCATTAGTAATCAGAACCAACTCAACCCACCACCCTACATGTCTCAGCCATTCTACTTTCCTTCCTCCCTGGACATCCCAAAGCCCCAGGTGGATGGTAGCGCCCGCTCTTCCTCACCACAGTCTGATGAAGAGGAAGGCCAGGGGTCCCCGCCGCTGTTCGAATCTCGTTGCAGCTCGCCTCTTAATCTGCTGGAGCTGGAGTTTTCTGTGGACAGGCAGGACAGCACGGCTCACGCTTCAGTAGGACAGGGGAACCATTTGGCTGAAAGGGAGAAAGGATCGAGCACCAGCAAGGCAAAGGAGATGCTGCTGAAAGAGGTAAATAGAGAGAGTAAGGGGGAAAAAATGTTTTTACTGTAGTTCTCTTGCCTTCAAGTCTTTCACTGTTTCTGACTGATGTTCCCCCATATGTGAACTATAAAAGTTTCAAAATAACGCTCCCCAACATAGTCAGCTGTGTGTTTCTTTTACACTTTTGGGATTTAATCCCCTCAATTCCTGGATCCTTAAAATATTCACACTGATTAACTAATAGAGTTTTTTTTTTCTTTGTATTCTTATGCATAAAAATCAAGTGAGAAAAAACTCCTTAAATGAATTGTGGCTATGGGTGTTAATGATACTATTATCCCTTACACCCTTTAGCCCTCTCTCAGTCTACTTGGTCCACCTGGACCCTTGTATTTCCAGCCCACATCCTGTGTCTGTGAGCGTTTGTCTTGGGATAAAGTGTGGTCTAGGCTGGGGGCTTGCAGCAAAGAGGTAGGCAAATCATCAGAAAAATACCACATTCTTTAAATCCCATGCCTTCCAGATTCATGTCAACAAAAAAAATTTTTTCTATGTTGTCGTCTTTTACATTTCATCCTGCAATGTTTTGTTTTTGTTTTCTTGCAACAGTTAGCTAAGAGTGGACTGAAGTACACTCAGTTATGAAAGCAAGAAAACTTAAAAAAACAGGCCACACTGTACAGATTTAGTCATTTTGACAGATGTTTCTAGAAGATCTTTTAGAATAAAATCTGTGAAAAATAATACTGACTATAAAATATGGTTCAAGGTAAGTTTAAATGCTAAGCACAGGTCAGAGTCTTTCATGAAAACTTTAGTGTCCCTGATCATTTGTGATGCAGCACCTTAAAGTAGTGCAGTCATTTTAATAGATAGAACTTTATGCATCCAGCCTGCAAACTCTGACTGCAAAATAAAGAAGGAAAAACCCCCACCAATGTTCCCAAATGATGACAAGACAAATAAACTGTCTTCTTCATTTCTGATATATGATACCTGTTATTTGTTATACCTGGCCTTTATTCTGGAGATGGTTTATAGGATACACTAAATAATTCTATGTTGTGTGCTGTAACATCACTGGAGTTGGTTTATGGAACAAAGTCCATGGGATCAAAGGTCACATGCTTGGATGAATCACAACAGAGAATGCAGTGTATGCTCAGATCATCTTTTACCTATCCAGGAGTCAGTCAGAGAAGCACCGTGACAGATTTAGCAAGGTTTTATTATTTAACTGAGTCCAAGGGGGTATTTTATGACCCCCCTTTAAAGAAAATGATTGTTTTTGAAATTATCCTAAAAAAAAAGTCTTTTTTTATTATTTTGTCTTCTCGGATGATACTCAGAGCCTTGATTTTAAGTTGATAAAGGAGACTTGCTGCTGTTGCACAACTGTCTGCAGCAATGAACATTTGTGATACACTCTTTAATTGATAAGTTATATACAACTAACTTCCTGTCTTTGTAATGCTTATACAGTATTTCAGTTAAGGGCTTCATGATATAAGAAAAAGGGTGTTTATGTCGATAAATGTCGCTTTAACAATATTACTTGAGACAGATAAGGACCCATAGTTGAACATTTTCATAACAAACAGAAAAAAACAAAACTTTACGTAGTTTCTTGCAAACTTTTTAACTCTGCATATCTTTATCATATAAAACCTTTATAGAAAGCTAGATTCAAATAGCTAATATCGATTGCAGATTATTGCAATATGCATATTACTTCTAGTGATATAGATTTATCATGATAAATGTGATACATTATGCAGCCAGAGTTCAGTTTGCCCTTAGTTATGCCAATGTTGTCTCTTCTCGTTTTACTTAAAAATTAAAACAAATAAAAAATATAATAAAAAGCTATATCTATTGAATAAGAAACATCCTTGTGCATGCTCTTAATTCAAAATTTATTTATTTAATTAATTCTTTGTGCTTTTAAGCAAATCATTATAGTTTAGAAAGCATAATTGCCGTGCAAAATTATAGGTTCTCATTTTATTGCATTGACATCTGCAACTGAGTTAGACATTTTGTAAGAAATCTTCCACAAGAATGAGTCACATGAATGAATTCTCCAATTAAGCACTGTTATAACAGTTTCTTCTTTTGAATAAGAGCCATGGTGTGTGATTAAATACTTACACACCATAATCAAGCAGGAATATATTCCCAGCGGTGGTGCTATTTGTGAGGGTCAGAGCCTTATTAATTCCACTGTTGTAATATGTGTGTTATTGCAGAGGAGTGAAGAAGGTAACAACAGTGATGTGATCTCGACATCCAGCGACATGTTGGATATCATCCTTCAAGAGGACTCCTGCTCGGGCACGGGGTCAGCAACCTCCGGCTCCATGGGCTCTGGTTCAAATGGTTTTGGGACTTCCGCAAGTGGGATGTCCAAGAGCAGGACATCAGCCAGCGGGGCCTCAGCCAGTGGGACATCAGGCAGTTTTTCAGGTCTGCATTCAAATTTCAATCTTACTTTCAGTATTATATATATATTTTTATTCACCCTGATCTGTGGAGATTGCAAAGAACAAATGCAGCAGCACCTGAAAACATGAACGCAAACATAATGAGCTTTTTGATGTTGAACTCTGCCTTTTTCAGGAAGCAACAACAGCAGTAAATACTTTGGCAGTGTGGACTCGTCCCAAAGCAGCCAGAAGGCCAAAGGCCTCCTGAGAAGCAGCGAGGAGAGACCTGCTGAGACAGAGCTTCTCAAGAGTGTCCTGCAGGACCCGGTCTGGCTGCTGAGGGCCAACACAGACGAGAAAGTCATGATGACCTACGAGCTGCCCTCACGGTGAGTCGAAGGACAGAGCTGCAGCCTGCCAGACGTAGAAAGGAGAACATTTTTTATCACTGCTACTCTCGCTTCCAACAAGCTTTAGTTGGTTAAAAAATGCAAAGACACTGGCTTCGATTTTCCTCTTTGTAATGTGGTTTCCTGCTCCTAACATAACATGTATTTACCACCAGGTGACAGAAATTTGTAAATGCATACCAGGAGGCTGTTCTGCAATGTTTTCTAACCTTAATTTCTCACCTAGAACAGAAACCTGTAAAATAGCTTGAATGACCATAGGACAATAAAGAAGGGTCAAAGATCCCTGTGAGTGTGAAGCCCCTAAAACATTGTAGGAAACATAAAGTTGTATCAAGAGTTGATCATTGTAATGCTGTTAATCTTGTAAAATCTATTTTATGTGTTTTTCTTCTACTGTGTAATTATTCTAAGATTAAAGGTTTATTATTTCTAGATATTTTTCTGAAAAGTTAATAAAATATTAATTTATTCTAAAGCCTTTTAAGCACCAGTAAGTTTCAAAGCCTAACAAAATATGTTGCAATAAGAAGTTAATAATAATAATTGAGAGGTTCAGTAATTTTTTTTTACAACTCTCCCCCACCCCACTGTATTTCCAATGTACTTTTGAAAAAAATAATTTCTTAAGCAGCTTTTTTCAAATATAGATTTTTTTCAGTTGCTTACTTTGATCTATTGACATAGAGGAATGAAGTTATTCCACAAAAATCAAAAGTTTATTATTATCAAACTTGTCACCCCTCTTAGGAAATTACCTTATAATTTAGTTTTAGCACAAACCACTATTGTGACATAATGTGTCCTTTAACACTACAATTATCACAACTGAAATAAAGCTCCTGGTTTTCTCCTAATGTAAAACACAATATGAAAATAAAAGTAAGTGTTGTGTCAGTATGTTAGTCCAAAAACAAAATAAATAAATCTAGACTTGAAACACAGAGCTGTTGATGCTCAAATAGCAAGATAAAATATTATCTTGTTTCAGCCAGGACACCAAGTAACATTTTTAAAACCAGGAATTATCAGGGATGGGTTAAAACAATCCAAAAACAATATTTCTGTGGGGGGGGAAGAAAAAAAAAACTAAGCAGAGGATAGCCTAGAGAATAATTACAGCATATTGCTAGCATTTCTGTTAGTCAGTTGAGATTAAGCTAGAGCTCTTTGGCCCCAGAGACATTGCTTTATGTTTGGAGGGAGAATAATGATGCATAAAACCTATTGCACCTTGTCCACAGGACTGGGTCATCTCGTCTTCCAGCATAAAACGGACCCATATGCTATTACAGCTAAATAGAGAAGACCCAACTGAGCAGTTTCTGACCAAACTCCACCAAGCTCTGACTTAAATCCTGCAGTGGGACTCATCAGGAGACCTGTCAGATTTATGCAAACAGGAACCGACAACGGCAGACTGCTGTAAAAAAAATAAATAAATAAATAAAAAAATAACCAAAATTGACTGACATGTAGGGGGAATAATAATTTTATCTGTTGATTTTATTGTCCTTTTTTTTAGGAAATAATTTCCTTTCTGAGATGCAGTTAGCAGAATGGAAGCATCAAGAATAAACCTAGAAGGCCTGTAAAGCTTTAGGAATTAAGCTTTTCCTGCCTTTTTCCTCATAAAACTTCCATCTTTACTTATCGCTGATTGCTTTCACTTCCAGAAGTTGACTGTGTCCTAAATAAACAATGTTTCTGCTGCTATGTTTACATGGTTTGCAGCTGAAATAATAGAAACATGTTATGCAATGTATGCGTTATATTCTCCTATGACAGTGTTTTATTCAGAGTAAAAGCTTAATCTGATCATCAAGGTAGCATTTTTGTCCATAGCATTTCTATTTGTTCTGTTAGTGTTTACTTCTACTGTAAGGAGATTAGTTCACCAGTAGGTGGCAACCTCAATACTTCTACCTAGCTCAATGTGATCAGTAGGTACTTTTTAACATAAAATCATAAGCTGCAGATGCCTTTTTTTATATATTATAATAACAGAAATCAAATCGTGCTTGTATTCATTGTAGATTATATTTTAGCAGCATATAAACCCTCAAATTAGGTCTAAAATGTGATATATATTTCCTTTGGTTTATTTTAGTCATTGTGGTTCATGATTTTCTGTTTTTCTCTCATCCGTTTTTTGTAATTATAATGTAGATGTATTTCTGACTAGACTTGCAACACACTGAAAAAAGCTGTGGATAAAATCCTCTTAGGGCTGTTGGAAAATGTCTAAAATGAATATGTATGAAATAAATGTGTAATTGAAAACAGGTGATGTCACTAAATACTTATAGTGGTACTTTAGTATAAATGTATCAACAATGAGATATTTTTATTGTATCAATTTGATTAGTAACAATTGTTTATTTGGTGTTTCAATAGATCCATTAGGAGTCATTTGAATATATTACATGAATAATTAGATTTTTCCAGTGGTGTCAAAAGTACACACATTTGTTACTTAAGTAGAAGTATAGATACTGCAGTTTAAAAACACTCTGGTTAAAGTTGAAGTATCAACTTGACCTCTTTACTCAAGTAAAAGTGAAAAAGTAAGTGCTTCAAAAACTACTTAAAGTATAAAAATATAAAGTAACCTTAAAAAAAAAAACAGCCAGATTCCACTACATGAATTGAAAGCTCATTTTTTTGACTATTTCAAAAAATTCTTTGAGATAGGGCCAAGGATGAGGGAGGTCTTGTTGGTCTCCATCTCCCGATACGCTCTGGCCTGTGTCCGACCTTTCAGACATTTCAACAACTTTTTCTGAACCCGACATTGTAGCATGGTATAAACAAGTTTGCAGTTTGAAGAACACCTGCTTGCTTCTGATGATTTCCTTTATCTAACCAATGAGGGTTTGCATTATATGACTCATCCAATGACACTAGTTTTCACTAGATGGATGGCGCCAATTATCTGCATTTGAATGGCGCACATGACGTGAAATAAATATTTATAATCATTAAACCGAAGTCAAGAGTAACGAGTTTGTTTTAAAAATTTAAGGAATAGAAAGTACAGATACTTGTGTGAAAAGTTAATGAGTAGAAGTCAGAAGTAGGAGGAAAAATAAGTAATGGTAATAAGTAAAGTATAGATACCCAAAAAGTGTACTTAAGTACAGCAACCAAGTATTTGTACTTTGTTACTTGACACCTCTGGATTTTTCTACATATGCAAAGGAACTTCAAAACCTTATTATATAGCATCATCTATTGAGAAAACAGTACAATTCAAAAAGGTAAAGGACAAACTGAGGTTGAATCTGTAAATCCTTGATCTATCAGGCAGTGTTAGAAAGACACTTTATAGCTCAGAAACACAGAGTTGCATCACACAAATACCAGCTTTAAAGCTATACACTGGAGACGGCTAAAAACGTTTATATTAACCTCATCTACTGAGAGCACTGATTTCACTGCTGTTAAGTCTTCTGTCATGAACCAGAATTAAAGGGCGTAATGCTATTCAGTAATTTTCACAATTGTTTTCACCGATAATGAGTCATTTCCCTCTGGGATTATTAAAGTAATTCTGATTCTGATAAGAAAATATATACAACTGTAATTCAATCTTGTGTTGCAAATATAATATGCATAAATTGTCTTTTTTTATATTTTGACAATAAAAACAGACAGTTTTGGCTGTAACTTCAAAGATGAGTAAATTAAAGACTGGTTGATAACCCACCCTGCCTTTGCATCATTATAACTTGCTTTAATCACATATAACTACCGGTACTTAAACTATTTGTTTTTGCATGTGCCTTGCAGAGACATCGCAATAGTGCTGGAAGAGGATAATGAGAAGATGAGGCTGCTGCAGCAATGCCAGCCCTACTTTTCAGATGATCAGAGGAAGGAGCTGAGCGAGGTCCATCCCTGGATACAGAGGGGAGGTTTACCCAAAGCCATAGATGTTGAGGTAAAAAAAAGAAAACTTAAATTTCTTTGTACCTTAATGTTATACAACTTTTCCCTTTCAATACTGTTCCAGCTTGTAACTCTTGATACTTCCTTTCATTTTCGTGACAAAATTTAGAAAGTTGAGTAAAAGAAATATGTTCATTTAGAAAGCAACCCAAGGCTCCATTATGTTTAAATGTCAAATTTAAGCATCAGTACATACTATGACCACACAAGAAAACAAGTCTCTAACTCAAAGGTTGCATATTACGCAAAATTCACATTATAAACATTTGTATCACTAATATGTGTCCTGAAGCCTGTGTATGAGGTTCACAAATAAAAACACCTTCCACCTCTATCACTGCCTTTCTCCACCTTTTAGCTAATGTGGGCTTAAAATGGTCTGTTTGAAAAGCATTCACCTTACGATGTCATACGGTGAATTAAGCTGTCCAGGGTTCATCTAATGCATTATAGGCTATCCCTACAAACTCTGACTGATTGTCAGGTTGTGGGACGCGTCCTTCTGGATGGTGAGATGTTGAAAGCCAAAACAGCTCATTACCATTTCATGGGTGGACAATCAAAAGTGCTCATTTCATTCAGAAGCAAAGCATTAATTCTGTATTCAATTATAATAATTAATACGTTTTTTTTTCACAAGAAGATATGTGGTGCTCACTTCCTGTTTGTAGCAGTCGTGGAGGAAGAGGTTTTTTGAAAAGAAGTGCCTTTAAATGTTATCTGTATAGGAAAAACAAACAGAAAGCTTGGTTATAATCAACCTTTTCTCTATTTGAAGATGTAAGGCTGTGAAATCTGCCTTTCATTTATAATTTAAACCTATTTGTGACTTCCAGGGATGCACCTGTTGTGACAACACCTCAGAAGCAGCAGCAACAGTTGGGGCTGAAGACTTGGAGCTCTGCTATACAGAGAGTGGAGACCCCTGCTGCCCAGAGAGGTTTAAAGGTGAACCTGTAAACTCCTCCATGATCTCCCGTCACCCAGGGCCTTCTCTAAGTTGTGACCTGCAGGCAGAAGAAGCAAATCAGCAAGACGTTTAAAGAACTTGTTTCTCTGCTGTAAAGAGGAGGCTGCCTTAGATGAGCTCCATGCTCCATGTATCGTACAATCCGTGCATTTCTAAAATGTGAATATATGTGGTGAAAGTCTTTTACATTTTATTTTTATCTGTAGTATGCTGGGTCACTTAGTTGCTTTTGGGATAAAGGCTGGGCTCTGTGAGTTTTCCTGTTTTAATAAGCGGCCATTTTTAGCATATGACAGTGCAACACTTTGAAAGAATCTCTGCTCTAATTATAGGAGATACAACACAGCACAACGCTGAAACTCGGAGCTGACAGCAGATGCCAAACAGACATTGTCGCGTCGGAGGCCAAACTCTGAGCCAGTGAATGAACTCAGTATTTTTCAGTTACGTCAGCATGGGATTAGAACAGATGCAGGTTTTTTTTTTTAAGGTAAGGTTATTTGGGTACTGCAGTCTTTAATAGACAAAAGGTACCAAATGAGCACATGTGCACTTTAGTGGACTAAAAGAAAAGCATATTGGTACTCCATAGTGCTATTGCTGAAAATCATTTCTGGGAATTTCAAACCTGCTCCTTTATTATGTTAATATATCAGTCCAATAATTCCACCTCCCATAGAAACTGGATCTATTTATTCCCTTTACTTGAATAACATGAGATACAATAAAGACCTGCGATCTAGAAAAAGCAGATCTTTATTGTGTCTCCTGTTAGGAATTTTATTGTTTAGGAAGATCCATTGCTAAATGTTAAACAGTTTTTTTTATTTATTGTGTATGTAGTACTCTGCATAAAGCTAAAGCTTCGAAAGCTTGGAACAACCTAGGAAAGCTACAGCAGTCAGCTAAGGAGGAGAATATCTACACTTCCTTTCAAAATACCACAAAGTGGAGCCCTTTTCCCGAATAATAAAAGCATGTGAAATCTAACAGTATTTATTGAGGTGATCAGAGTATTCCAGCAGAATACAACTCGGCCAAAGGCTGCATTCACTTGCCTGGATACTCGGCTGCAATACTTAAGACTTTATATTTTTCCCTTTGGATCCATGTGTCGCCAGATTAAGCTTGCTGTGGGCATAATTTATTTATTTTTATCCTATGAAAAGCATCAGTTTTTAGATGTTAAATTCTTACTTTTTGAAGCCTGTCATTGCACATGCTGATTATTGTAACAGTCTGAGTATATATATTTATATGTAAATATTTGACATATTTTTTTAAAGAAATATTAATTTTTTTAAAGAAAAAACAAAATTAAAACACAAACGGGACCAGAAAGACGGCAAATACGATTTTAGAAGAATGTGGTTGTGAACATTTCTCTGCCTAAACAGGAAAAAACTATGGTTGTTTACAGCGGATATGGTTGACAAAGGGATAAGTTACAACATTACTGTCCAAAAACACGAACGGTTAATCTTTTGGGTGAGTGTGTAGATCTAAAGAAGCATTTTGAAATATTAGGTGCCTGATGGGTTTTTAATGCTGTTATTCAATTTAAATCGGTGAAATTTCTCTATAACTTTCCTGAATGTGTCATTAGACTGTCTGATAATTCAGCAGACATATAAAGCACCTTTCTGTTTTGTTTTTGATTCTTTGTTTTTAGTGTATCTTTTTTTGTTTATGATTTATGGAAAATGAATATTTTATTGTAATAAAAGGAGATGTTTATGGAAATGCATGAATTCATCTTTCTTTGGAAGTTTGCAGACAGGAAAAAAACGATAGATGCTATAAGATATAATAGAGAATATTGACGAACGGAAGGAGCTCTGGAACAATCTTTGGATGTATTTAGCCACTGTGGCAGGTTTACTTAGGTTTTCTAAACCTGAAATAAGGGAAACTTCGATTTTTCCGTTTCACAAAGAGAGCTTATTCAACCTCTGTTTCTGTTTCTATAGTAACAGAGCTAACCTGGTTGGGAGTAGGTTTTCTTCAATAAACTCAGTGTCCTCTGTCTCTGCTCTCCTTACAACCTATCACATTGTGTTGGATCTTATTTAAAAGTGATCGGCATTGTTTCACAGAGAATTAAATATTTACAGATAAAGGATTCTTCAACTCAGTTGACAGGATATGAGCTTAATTTGTTTTTGCACACACAAAACAAATATGTTGCATAAAACAAAGTTAACTAGATTATTATGCAAATCAAGCAAATAAACTTTATCTATTTGAAATAAATCAAATCAGTATCATCCTTACTAGATATATAAACTTATAGTTTAAATTCTAATCAAATAATCTATATTAGATTAATGAATATGGACCATATGGATCATCATTTAAAGCTGCAATAGACTGGCGACTTGTCCAGGGTATAACCAGCCGCTCGCCCTTAGACAGCTGGAAATAAGCACCAGCAGGGATAAAGCGTGACAGATGATTGATCAATGGATCATTTAAGGTTTATTTAATAGGATAGGAATTTCTTATCTAATAAAATTACAAATTGCATTACAATCCTAAATTTTGGGTGAGTATTTAATGGCCTATGTCCCTTTCAGCCCATTGCAGACCTGACTTTATGATCATACTGTGTATCTCAAATAAATATATCTTGCAGTGTTCGCACATGACCACTAGATGGCATTAAAATACATACATATATAGTGGTGCCCAAATTTCGCTCTATTCACATTCAGATGAGGAGAGAACATGCATTATGTTAAAGATTTCCTGTCCTGGGGTCTTAAACCTTCCATATGCAAATTAGTCTCTGCCTGACTGAAGAAAAACGTGATAGTTTTCTGTCAAGTCCTAAAAGATCCGCCACATGAAAGAGTCCTCCCTTTATTTCACACCTCACATTTAACAGAAATAGAGCTGGGATTTGGCGGTTGATGAAACCCTAAAAAGATTTAGTGTTTTCGGCGGAGGAATAATTTGTAGGGTAGAATGCGCTATGTTTTCTTAGATAGCAAATAAAAACGACAGGCAAGACGATAGGTTATATGATGAAAAGTGACTAGTCAGATGGGCATCGCCTTCTGATCCGTTAACACCCTCTACCCTGCATGTTCGCTTTTACATTTAGCACAAGGTGCAAATGGCTCACCTACTGCGCTTATTTACATCCGAGCTGATCTGTAAATCCGGTCTGTCTGTTCGCTTTCTTTTGGATATATTCCCACAATAAAGAGACAATTTACACACACACACACACACACCCACACACACCCATATATACACAGAATTGCATATGTGTATATACATATCTATATATATTATATATCACCTAAGAAAATACAATGAAATATTTCAACAACATTGATTTTAACATAGCCTAAGCTGAGTAAAGCTTAATATACAGTTGAGGGGATTTATATATATATATATATATATATATATATATATATATATATATATATATATATATATATATATATATATATATATATATATATATATATATATATATATATATATATATATATATATATATATATATATATATTTGTATGGCATAGATTGATTTTTTTTGCGATTTTTCTGTTTGTTTTCTGAAATATTACCATTCCTTCTTCATTCAGCCTGCTGCACTTTAATACCTAAATTCAGTATTTTGGTTGTTTAAGCTTTTTGACAAGAGAACAAGTTGATTTTATTCACACCTGGAACCTTTTTTAAAACGTCTTTATTTCTTTATTTAGTAGCTAAAGCTCAGATTGGCAATTGTCGATCAGTTTTCAACAGTTTATTCATGACTAGACTGTTTGCTGTTTTAACACATGAAAACCTGTTGATCTAGCCCTTATAATTGTTGCTCCGTACGTGTCCTACAGAAAACGAACCTATGCCCCAGTATGAAGTCTTTTGCAGGCTCTTGACAGGTTTCACCCACATTATGATGTTGCAACCATAGTTTACCATGGGGAAGGTGTTTTAGTGCTGTGTGTGTAGTGCTGTGTTAACCCGACACAGCCTTTTATGTGTACAAAGACAGTATAGATTGTGGACTAGTTTGATCAAAGCACCTTTGTTCAGTTTGACTGTGTGCCTGACATTAGAAAACATGACTTCTCATAGTGGATCTATCAAGCTCCCATGGGATTCTTGCCTGCTTCTGAGCTGTTGTTTGTGTGATTCTCTCTTTATTTTGAAATAATAACCTGCTTAAACTTTCCCACAATTGCCTATTCTGAACTAAGAGTAGTCTTCCCTCATTTTTATGGAGCTGATAATCACAAAACTTGATTAAATTACACATGAGTAGACATTATTTATTGGCTAACTTATAATTGCAACTTGTCACACAGGAATGTTTTTCAAGGGTAGCAAGGTAAAAGGGGTAGAAAAACAATGAATGCTTCAGTTTCCAGACTTGTAATTCTTACAAGATTTTATGTATCATGACTTTCCTTCCACTTTACAGTTATTCACGACTTTTTAGTGTCAAAACTGTGGATCGTGAAAGAATTGACACTCTGAGGGAACATTGCAGGAACACGAGAGAAAACAAATGACCAAAGATGGATTCAGCAAGGTCTCAGAAGTGCTGTTCAATTTGAAATCTGAGTCACACGGTCTGTTTCTTTTACTGCATCTGAGAAGCATTCATTAGAATAGAAACTTTAGGACCTTTATACATGGAAGCAGGTAAATAATTTGATATTGCCAGAACAGACAGACGCTCTGCAATAGTGCTGCACGTTACTATGCATTATAGCCTCAGACTGATGCTTATAGAAAATTCCTACTCATGGCTGACCTGGATTCCAAGTTATAGAGGAAAAACATAAAAAGCTGAGCTTAAACAGAGCTATAAAAACCCTTGTCACAAGCTCTGAATGAGGCCTATAAAAGGAGTGATTACTCATTTCACACCTCACAAATGCCTACGACGTGCAAAGAAATCTTAGAGCGAGAGAGGGAGTGTGCACACAAACTGGCCCACAACTGCAGAGTAAGAGCTAAAATCTTTGTAACAGACGAGGCTGCGTGGTTAGTGCCAACCTCCTGTGTTAAATCAAGCTTTTTTAGGTGCAAAAGAGGTGAATAAAAATAATTTCAACATAGCCCTTTGTTTTAAAAAAAACAATTTATTGAAAGGTTTAAAATAATCAGATGAGGTAGCTTACTAAAGCACTATAAATACAACTTTGGGACTTTTCAAATTGGAAATAATTTAACTAACACAGTATCTGCAGAGAAACAACTAAATGTTAACAAATACATATTTACAAATGCATTGACAGCATTCAATGAAAGTAGGCCTTAAACACATTTAAATTTCAAACATACAGATCATTAATTTCTGGAACTGATTTAATCATATTTTACAATTTAAATACTTAAGTTTTAAAACATTTAACAAAGAGCTTCATGATGTCTTAGACAAAGTGGTTCCCATTTTTTTTATACTAAAAAAGCACTAAAATAATATAATTATGTATCAATTAGAGAACAGGACAGGGACTTTTATTCCTTGGTATAAATTGTTTTGGAAACTACCTATTTCCACCACATATTGGCTTGACACTGCCCACAAACAACAGACTATACAAGTGTAAAAATGACTTGTATGAAATGTTCTCTTTGTCTTCTGTCCTTATTTGCCCACGGTTCTAAAAGAGATGTCCCCCCTGCTTCTTAGAAAGCCTCTAGTACTTGTTCCCAGTTCACAATTGACTCAGTAGCATCTGAATGTTTATGAAGCGATGATCTGTAAAAGCACTGCTGATAATATTTCTGATGTCTTTTGTAGAAAGTTGTCATATCACAGTGTGTTGAAAGAAATATAACAAGTAGTCAAAGATAACTAATGTTTTAGCTTATTTGAGCAACATTATATTTGTAGATAACGAATGCTATTTCATTGTTATATACGCTGTTGCTCTAAGCTCAACAACTTCCCTGTCGTGATGTGATCTCTTATTACCACATGTCTGAAAAACCCGTGGTATTTGCTAACTGAGGTAGTCAATGAACAGGCTAAATAGGTTTACCAATATAAGATTAAACACATCCTGCATCATCACTTGGTTAGCTCTGTATATTTGCTTGGATGTAATGCATTAAATACTAAAGGAATTCATACAACAGCAGATGTTATACTGTACTCTGTGACTCAATGATTTGAATAAGTAAAAGGGTAATTGCAGAGAGAATCAATACCAGCTGTACCACAGCCTGAGAACAATAGTCTGAGACACGTGGTTATAAATTGTGGTACAAGTACTGCTTATGATTAATGGGCTGCCATTGTTGTTATTTCTCAGAACAACTAAGAACAAGGGGTGGTGGTGATTTTACTTAAATTATTGAATGATTAAAGTAAACCACACTCTTTAATCAGCCATGCGTTGCCAAGAGACGGTTTTTGTTTTTACGCTACAGCAGAGAACATTTCAGAGTTCCAAGTTTTGTTTAATTTCTGTTAAAAATCTATAAAAATGGTTGAACTTGGAAAACTTACTCTTATGGTATTTGAGTTAAAAAAAATTGAGAACCATTGTCTCAGTATAACGCTGCATATTGAGGTATGTTTAGTGTTGATTAAGGCCTGTTCAATCCATTCCAAAACCAGCCAACAATCTAGTTTATGAAAACTCCTATAACATTCTCTACCAAGGTCTCCACACTGACTTTGAGAAAGGTAGACCAGATGATACATTCTGGGTGTCTACCTCCTCTGTGGAGGAAGCTCGGCTTTGCTCTGAGTCTATCTC